ACACAAAAACAATTTGTGGCTACTCTTTGTTCCGACATATTGTCTGTTCGGAGCCAGAAGGATGTTGTGTGTTAGTACCCTTTTGCTCAAAACAAACAATATAGGCATAAAGGAATGGTGTTTACATGTGGAATTTATTGAATACAACAAATTGATTGTACAAAAGGGCCCGTTCAGAAAAGTTATTGATTTCGCTGTTTATTCTAACTGACTACTTGAAAAGTTAAGTATGTGTTTTTGTAGGTAACTAAGCAACCAGGGAGCGTACCTTAATTGAGATTATCTTATCAAAGTGCACAAGCAGCTTCCAGAGTTTGTCCAGCCGAACGGCAGAGAAAAATGTGCACATGGGCATAGAGCAATAGGCGCGTCTTCATCATCTCGAGATTGCCAAATAGCCCGTTACTTTTTATTTGGGAAATAATCCCGAAGCTACAAATCCTGTCTTCATCAGCTTGAGATTCGACCTCGAAACTCGACCTTGAGAAATTAGCTCAAGATATTTTGCTCAGCATTGCGCATAGTGCGAGTCTTCGGTCTGGTGAAGACGCACCGGACAAATAGCTGGATATTTTGCCAAATAGTGGGATATTTTGCAAACTATCCCAAGATATCTTGGGATGACAACCCTGACCAAATATCCCGCTAATTGCAACTTCGGGCTGATGAAGACTCAAATTAGCTGGATAGTTTGCGATAGGGATAGTTCAAAAAGCGGGATATTTTTGCAATCTCAAGCTAGTGAGGACAGGCCTATTTGTGAATTGCTGTGAAAGTTATCTACCGGTAGTTTTTAAAAAATACTTAAAATTTTAAAAACAGTAATATGTGAATACATGTATAGCTGTACAACAATAAGCAAGGAAAAGGTCAGAATCATTTGATGTTATGAAGTAACCATTGTTCTTGTCTTATTCTTGGTTAAGCAATTACGTTTTTGAATGTGGTATTCATTCAAGTACGAATGAGAAGATTATTGAATTTGCAATTTCTAAACATGTAATGAATTGAAATGCAAAACACGAGATGGAGAGAGAGAAATAGAGAGGAACATCTTATGCTGGCAATTGAAGTAAATTGTAAAAAAGGGATATACAGGTGTATGCATTTTTTGTTGTTGATTTGTAAGCGAGTAGAAACTTTGATTATGGATTCTGACAAGCAAGTTTACTTTCTATACAGGACTCGTCATTTGAAATCTATGCATGCTTTTCATGATCCACATAGCATTAAACAAGGAGTATATTCATTGGTTTAACCTTTTCAATCTGAAGTCAACCTCACACGAGTGGACGTCACATGTGTCGAAGAATCTCTTAAGTCAATGAGAATAAAAAGTCCCAATTTTTGTAAGTTGAATAATCGCCCAAGTCGATCGAATTTCCGGCTCCAAAGAATGATCTTAGTGTGCCATTAATCAATGGACTTAATTAAGGTTTAAACTTAGAATAAATAAGTATCCTTGTTATACATTATGAATAACAACCATTTGCTAACCACTACATTACCTCTCATATATATGCAGTGTACTTTGTTTAAAAAAAAAAAAAAATATTCAATCGTGCTCATGAGAAGCCTTATTTTGTAATACTGCTGGACATTATGGCCCCAATTCAACAAACCTCCTTTTGTTCTTTACAAACCAGGTTTGTAAAAAGGGCTATAGTAATGTACATTAAAAGCAAAACAAGTGGTATTGAATAGTTTACGTGTACTGTATGCATACACATATATATATCAAAACCAAAATCAAACTTTGATTTTGCTCATGATGTTCATTGTTCAGAAATAATCTATTTCAGCCACCAGAGATTGAATAAACCTCCCTGGTTTGAGGACAAACAATAGACGGGATCCCTGGGCATGCAACGTACTATTACGCTGACCTACCTTAATGTTGACCTTTCTATTTTGAGCTGTGGATCCAGATGGTGTATTTTTTATTTTATTTCAACTGTCAAAGTCAATATCAAGCTTACAGAAGAACAAATATCAAAGATCCACTATCTGACATTTGTGAAATGGAGAGGGTTTTTTTTCTTTCTAGTTGACTAGACAGTTGTATATTTATTTGCTGCTCTTAGAAGTTAGTCTTGATTTCCAGCATTGGAACTCTACGTTTGTGAGAAAATGGCTAAAAGTTATTGTGGTTTTGTTTTGTTTTTAAAATTTAATTAATATGTAAGGCTGCAAACTGAATAGAAAAGAATACTGATAATCCCAGTTATCCCATACGTCGACATGACCATTGAACATACATTTCATGGATTACATGTAAAGGGGTTTGTTTTAACGGTGTCATTTTGTCATCTTACTTTACCTTCATTGCCCAGCCCCACATGTACATGTGTACATCTGTGAAATGAGATATTTCAAAGAAGATGATAATTCAATTAATATTCATATGAAATTGTTGGATACTGTGAAAATTTGAATTTTTTAAATGCAAGACAACTTGTAATATACTGTTAGGAAAAGAGCAAGTCTATATGCTGGGAATGACAACATTATGTTTGATTGAGAAATTAGAAGAGAAATTTAAAAAAGAGTTTGCTGATGGGTAAATTGTTCATTGTAAAAAATAACAATATTTGGTTCTCTGAGAGTTTTGTTCATTATAAAAGCAGCTTCAATGTACTTATTTTGGTTCCAAAGAATTTATATTTTCTAGAAACTACAACTACATACTGTATATAATACTCATGTTTAAAGAGAAAGAGAGGAAGTCTATGAGACATAATTATTTAAATACCTGCTTTGGAAAGCATGGTAAAAAAAAAATTGTTATAAAGTTCATGCAGATCGAAGATTGAAGAAAAGCAGCTATTTTTAGACGTTTATGAGCTGTGTTATCTCTGGCATGAAATCATGTAAAGCATATCAATCAATGTGCTGATTCTCTCTTTTGTGTGAATACTAGGTCATGATATAAATCTCTTTTCAGACCAAATTGCTTTCCAATAAAGGTTGCGTCACTCATTTCCAAAAATTATGATTTTACTGGAATGTAATTGTCAATTTCACATAGATGAATTATTGAATGCTTGCACACCAGCATGGCATCCTGTTCAATAAAGCCGGCCTATATTTTTCACCTCCAATAAATGATATCTGACTTTGGTCATGTAAGGGAGCCCATTGTCCAGGGTTGCCAGGGCTATACTTAGCTCATGGTTAACAGCGTGAGAGATGGATTGGAGGTTGAATTGAATTCAAGCATTTCATTATCTCATTCTATTACAAATGATGAGATGCTGAGAATAGCAGCGAGTGTGAAAAATACAGGTATGTGCTCAATAGGAGTTTTATAGATGCATATTGGCAATAATTATATTTAGGATGCATGTATGATTGAAAATTTTCTTGAGGGCAAATAAAAGTGCCTGATTTCTTTTAGTATAGAGAAAAGGGGAGGGGATCTCCCAAAATATACTTCAAGGGGAATTCTACCCTGATATTAATTTGGTTTTAATAGAAACAGAAAATGAGAGGAACAGGTCAGTAAAAGCTTGAGCAAATTTTGATTAAACATAAGAACATTATACATTTTTGGCGATCATTCAATTAAAGATGAATTGGCAACACTGTGATGTATCTTGTGAGATCCTCTCTTATTTCTCTTGACATAAAGTTCAATACACTTTAATTGTCTTCGTTATTGATGATGGAATAGAATTTGTCCTTACAGGGGTTTTAGAGAAAGATACATACAGTATTTGCAATAAATATATTTAGTATGCATGTATGACTTTAAAATTTCTTGAGGGAAAATAAAAAATTCTGATTTTTTTTAGTACAGAGCAAATGGGAGGGGATCTCGCAAGATACGTCACAGAGTTTCCAATTTGTGTTTGATTGATCGCTACTTTCTTATTTTCAATTGAAATTTGCTAAAACTTGCACTGACTTGGTGTGGTGAAGAACATCCACCCTCCCCCTCCCTCCTTTGAAATGCCCCCTCCCTCCTTTGAAATGCCGCCCTCCCTCCTTTGAAATGCCGCCCTCTCTCCTTTGAAATGCCGCCCTCCCTCCTTTAAAATGCCCCCTCCCTCCTTTGAAATGCCGCCCTCCCTCCTTTGAAATGCCCCCTCCCTCCTTTAAAATGCAGCCCTACCTCCTTTGAAATGCCCCCTCCCTCCTTTGAAATTCCCCCTCCCTCCTTTATAAAATGCCCCCTCCCTCCTTTAAAAGGCAGCCCTACCTCCTTTGAAATGCCCCCTCCCTCCATTAAAATGCCGCCCTACCTCCTTTGAAATGCCCCCTCCCTCCTTTGAAATGCCCCCTTCCCCCTTTGAAATGCCCCCTCCCCTGATCAAAATCAAGAGAAATAGCAGTAGATGGAGGTATGTACTTTTAGTGAGTCTGCAATGGAGAAAAAAATTGATTGCGGGATTCCAATACAAATAAAAAAAGGTTTCTGTTTTTCGTACATAAAGCTTCTACTCCCCCAGGGGCAAATCACGCGTACAGGAAGCGCGCTCACTCATTAGACGAACCCACTCTTACATATAGGTTGGAATGCCTTAGGTTTACATGTCACTTCGCCACTAAGGTACATGTACCTTACATTTGTTTTGTATATCTCCAGAAAACTCGTAAGGACCAAGTAAAAAGAGATCTTTGAAATAAGAGGGGGAATTCCCAATACTTTCCTAGTTGGGAGAAACATGACCAGAAATTCAATTATAAGTATTGCAGATAAATGAATCAAAAAATGTATACTGAAGTGCCTCAGGTGTCTTTAATATTAAAGGCAAATTGAAATGTAAAGCAGTGTAAAGGAATACAAACTTTACTGTGAAAACAATCAAAGGGGGAAAAAAGGTCATTTATTTGATATACTGTACTTGTATCATCATTCCATTTTCATATTATGAACAATGGCATCTTGAGACTAAAAGATACTGTACTTCTTTTTGCCTTTTAGTTGTTTACTTGGTATGCAAAGTTACCGCTTTCTCCATTATATTGGAAAGGAATCGCACACCAAAAAACGAGCAGTTATTTGTGTGTCTGTATGTGTGTGCATGTTATATTGTGCTCTGTAAATTGTGACTTTTGGATTGTGTGTATATGCTGTGTGCTTGCGCGGTGCATTTGCTGTGTAGTTTGTGCATGAAAGACCCCCTTGCAATTTTGGAAGATGGATATTTTCTTTAAAATGTTAAAATTAAGTTTGTAAGTACATGTATGCATCGTAGGTGAAGTAGGCATACAATTTTCAGCTTCATGCTTTATAATTTTCAAGCCCTTTGGAATTGTTTTCGTTACAGGCTTGTACCATGGTGTTATCTGCAGGGTGTTCCATCATAATTTTACAACTTTTTATTACTGAAGATAGATGATAGATATTGTTATCTGTTGGTCGTGTGCTCATTGGACTATCTTTTGTATCTATTCCTCAATACCCGAAGGCACTAGGTCTTTTGTTGAATCATTGTATTCTCGACCAGAACAGAGAATAATAGACAAGAGTAGTGAAGCATCTATCAGAGTAGTAGATCAGGGTCTGATTGGCGAGACTAGAGACACGTCTATAGCAGAGTGGGGCCTGGATTTGCATGCAGGGTAATATTAGCACTGGATACGGTGGCGTGCAATCACACAGCCTTGCAGTATATACCATGTGAAGATTGCTAAGCACTCGATCGTCTGCTCGCAGCTAGCCAGCCAGCAAGGGAAAGGGCGAGACTCTTCGCTCGTTCATCGTTCATTCCTGGTCGTTGTCGGTATGCTCACTCACAGCTCACTCGGCTGAGATAGAAGGGATAGGTATCAATGCATAGACGCCAGCGACAGGATAAGACAGGAGAAGGAATAGTTGAGCGGCAACAGAGCAAGAAGAAGATGAGCTAAGGAGAGTTGCTGTGTGCACGCTACCAGAAAATGGGTGTTTTCACGTATGGTATGTTGTTTCAAGTGATTTCCTTGGCTGTCTTTTACACTGAATTGACAGTTTGTCTCTGTTGAATGGTCACTCGTCTGCGATTGTAGCAATCAGGTAATTTACACTCTATTATCTAATTTTGTTGAATAGGTTTTCATATATGTTGGAAATACAGATTGTTTTTATTGAATGATAGTAGGAAATTATTTATTTTCTAAAATTGTTTCTTCTCTTTTCTACTATAAAATCATTAAATCTGGCTATGGAATTTGCCCTTTTTTATAGGATACAGAAGGGCACTCATTTGTTATATTAATAACCTTTTGTAATCTTTACTTTTTATAGGCCCTTTATGCTTGTGTACATAGCCTGTGTTAGGAGAAACAAATATCAGTTAATACTGGGAACAAAATTTTGATATACATTGAAATACCTAGTGGTTTTTTCCTTCTATGTCTGAATTTTTTGTGTACAAATTCAGATTTCTTGCTCTTTTTACAAGTCATTGACAATTTCAGCTTGGATTGATTATGTGATTAAACATAATTCAATGGAAACCAAATCTATCATGCTGTTTTGATTAAATAATTTGAGGTTTATCATGCATATCATTCGCATCCAAGAGGAGGGGCAATAAACAAAATACAAAATTCAATGCATTCAAAATAAATTGATTCCACTCCCTCATTACGTTCTACTTGTAGAGCCTAGAGGTACGTCCCTTTTCCCCCTCAAGCAACAGTCTTGTATTTCTCGGTAACCTTGCACTGCTTAGTATGACTAATACCAGTTACTAATGTGGGTTGAATGCCGTCTTGGTCCACATCAAAGAGATACTGTATATGAACGTTGCATTTCCTCTTCTTTTTTTCGGGGGGGGGGGGGGGGGTGTGGGGGGCATGGTCTGGACTTGTACACACTTAATTAGGCCTTGTGGAAACAGTTTTTGGTTGAGTATGATAACATTTTCCATCATAATTGATGCTGGCGGATGTATATACAGTGCAGTGAAAAAAATACACGGGGGCTCGGGGCGAATTAGCCCTCGAAATGCCCAAAAGAGCCCCCAAAAATCAGAAAAGAGCCCCTGTAAATTTGCATAGAGTTCAATGCAAAACAAATTTTAGAGTGTTAATTTCATGCAGGCAAGCTTGAAAAGTAGCCCCCGAAAAATAAATATTAATTTTTTCCCTGATACAGTGTAGGTATGTGCCTTTCATAGGATTGGAAATTTGTTTGAAAAACATTTGTTGATGACATGGCCTTTTCAGGCCTCCTCACTAATAGTAACAGCAGCTGCAATAGACTCATAAATCTAGTTCAGATAGAGAGCGCATTTCTCGGAAAAGGTATTCACTTTCAAATCTACCAGTTCTTATTCAGATTTTATTATCCAAATTGTGCATGAAAAACAATATTACACAACAACAACAGCAACAATAATACCTAGTTATACATTATATATCATCTGGTAGTGGTTCACTAATCAAGGATCCACAGTAATATATCAAATGCATTATTTGAAAATACATTTAGCAGTAGGCACATTCAAGATTACATTTCTAGTAATGTCTATTAAGAATTTATTCATTTTTTAAATCCAAAGAAGTGCTTACATGCACCACATTGTTTTAAATGTATAATTGCCAACTTTGTGTGTGAAGAGATTCTTAAGGGCAGCCCACCTGATGAATCCGTAAGCTTCTGTACATGTAGCCTAGAGGCGATCATGAATACATTGGCATGTACTGTAGATCTGCTCTTATTTTCTTTGCATGGTAGTTTCCATTGCTTCATACAATTCATTCCAAAAGGATTTCTCTCACACCACTGTTTACCCACTATCTGAGCTTCTATCACATTTTTCTCAGAATATTCCATGGCTGTTATAGTTTTGTTGTCAGGAGTCTTTCCTGGATCCTGTCTGAAAATGTATATCCTATATCCTGTTGCCCCCTTGTACTTGGTCCTACCAGGGAAACTCTCATCTGCCTGGTCCTACCTTCTTTAGCTGCCCCCCTCATTCCCTTCTTAAATTGTTTGTACCAGACTGTCATTGCAGAAGTCTTGCCCCCCCCCCCCCCCCACATAGAATACATGTCCATTTGTAGGTGGACTGTATTAAGAGAAGATCAAATTGATTTTGGAAAGGTTCCTGCTCATAACATTTTCATATGTTTTTGTGTTTGCATTGCTATCACTCACCTGGTAGCATTTGGCAACCCTTTCCCAGCCTGTTTGAATAGCAATTTCATTCATATGTTCCCTAGGATATTGCTGATGTTGTATCAGAAGCACCGTCTGGTCATATTAATATCGTATAATAATGTATGCACATGAAAGTGCACATGACCCCCGTTCTCTGTACATACGTGTAGGCCACCTTTGTACAAGCCCACATGCACATACTCCCAGAAAATATTAGATTCGTGAACCTTGTGCACTTGAAAAAGCCGTTCACGCATGACCCAGTACACTGTATGGAAGAAAAATAACTAGTCAGAATTAAATCCTTGTAATGTGTTTAATAATGAATTGCTAGTGATGGTGGATTGTTGCTGCAGACAATGGTCTCTCTATGTGTTACATGTATGTGAAGTACACTGAAATATTTATATTTTAAAAGTGAGTTATTTTGTATTATAGCATGTTGATGTAGTTTGCTTTAAAATCTTAATTTCTCAAGTGTAAATGTCACTGAATTAGAATTCCAACCCTTGAAATAAGGTCATTTATATGAAAGCAGAAAACAAGATTAGTTTGAAGAAAAAAATGGAAAAATAATAAGAAAGTTATTAATGTTTTGAATATGAGTTCACTAAGTATGTGAATCTCAGATTGGCGGTTTGGTCAGTAGATTGTGATATACATGTAGTCGCAGATAACTCTCCCATTTACTGTGTACAAAAACATATTTTATTTTTGTTTTTCTATTAAGTGTCTTCTCCCTTGGGTCACTTCCCAAAATATATTATGGCTAGCATAATGTTATCTAGGTCCTCTAAAGATAAAAGACCCTTATGAGTCATATATTTGTGAAAAATTTAAATTTTAGTAAAATGTTGTGTGTTGAAACAAATGGGTAGTTGTCCGCCACTACGTCACAGAGACATTACCAATTCAGCCAATATGAAGAGCCCATACCTACCGTATATGGATTACAAATGTCAAAAATTCATAACTCTCTCATTTTTTGTTCAATTCATTCAAACTTTCACCAGTCTACTTCTCATATTTTCTGCATTCCTCTAGTGTAGTTTGCTATCGAGGTTGGATTTCCCTCGATGCAAGTTTCCTGTATGAAAAGAGACATTATTACAGTGAAACACCCTGACATGCCCCTCTTTTGTCATTTGTGTAGGAGTGTTCATGGGTCTCCTTGCAGTTTGGCACCCCTGACTTGCCCCACGCCACTGCCTATCAAGTATTGGTCACTGGGCAAGGTTTCCCAACCAGAAGACAGGTGCAGCAGTTAATGCACTACAATGTTGCCAACACTGCCTCAAGGCTAGCTACATGTAGCTGTCTTCCCTAGCTGCACGCATGCACTCATGACATTGCTCAAGTTCTTAAGTATCGGCCTAATGTATGTCTGGCATTCAGTAGCTGCATTCACATTGCAAGCAACAACAAAAAATCATCAATTTTTCTCACATTCCGGTGTTCAATGCTCATTCATACTGGTACATGTAGTTGCTAGTTGCTAAACACAATGAAAAACCTATACTGGTTTACAAAAATACACCTCTGGGGGGTGTTTTACAAAACTTGTCATCAGTGACAAATGACAGTTTTTGTTATAAGCTACCGGTAGTGAAATTTTTGCTTCTGATTGGTTATCAGCAGATCTGTCACTGATTATCATTGAAAAAAGGCTTTGTGAAACGCCCCCCTGGAGTGTTTTTTTTTTAATCATCTGACGAAATTTCACCGATCAGTTAATGATCCCGTTTTTTGATAACGTGACTCTCCTTTGCATTTAAAAAAGAGCTGTTGCATGTGGTCAAGATGAACACCTAAATCCTCTTTGTTTTGAGTCTTGGATTACATAACTGGCAGGTTCAGGGCAATCCCCTTTTCCAGGCGTTTCCGCAATCGATCAATCAAGCCGTTAGCAACTAAATCACGTACAGGATGTACACAACTACAAAACAAGCTCAAATGTTCAGGGAATTTCTAGAATTTCCCTCCTCAGTTCATATTTGTAAACAGATCACATTACTAAATAAAGGAAAAGCTTATGTGTATATATATTCCAGGCTTGTATCATGTACATGTAAGTCGCATATATATCCTAGTTTGTGGATATGTACTAGTACTTGTTCTAACCTAACCCTCACAAATTACAAACTGGCAACAGACCTTATGGATAACCGCATTATACATGTAGATACCAAATAAATTAATGAATATGGTGGTATTAGATTATTGTACGGGCTGAAATTAAAAGGAAAACATATGGTAGAATTAATAATGTGGCATTATTGAAACTGTTTTGTAATGGTTATTTTAGATTAATATTTCAGGTCTTTGACTCCTCTTAAATTCTTGTTTTTTTGTATACTTATGTGTAATTATGCAGTGTATCTAATCTAGCCAAGACAAACCGCATGGGTACGAATCACCCCAAAATGTTTTGCAGTTTCTTGCCGGTAAACATATTAGATTGTAAGCTTGTATAGTGAAATAATAAGGTAAAACCATATTAGTGTGTGATGTAGCTCTTCGGATTGCGGGTGTGGGGGGGGGGGGGGATAGGGGGATAATTTGTTTTGTCTTCTAGCTATATTTTAGTTAATCTGTGCCCGAATCGTTGTACACAGCTCAGATATTGATCCTTTTTTCTTCCTTTTTTCACTTTGAATTCACTCTACCCTTTTCCCTTTCCAAACAATTTACTACTTGTACAAGAGCTCAAATGTCAAGGAATGATAATGTCACAATATATCATTGTTGGTGTGGGCCAAATGGGCAATTTACCCTCAAATTGCTTGGAGGGGGGCAATTTTCATAATTGGAAATCTGTATTGGCCGAGAGGGGCGACAAGCTTCACACTTGCACAGAGGAGAACTCTGAATTTAGAAGAATAGGTATTGGCTAATTTGGTGCCTCAAACAAGAACCCGTATTTAATGTTCTTTCTTGATGTATTAGCCTGATTCTTTTTTTTTACCTTTGAACTTCTCAGTGTGGTCAGATCCAATGAATAATAACAATCAAGATTGCTTCTTTGATTGGCTGCCAAATGCAATTGTGATCTCTCCAAGTCTTGGAACAAATTTATTTAAAAAATAGATATAGAGTAATTTCTGCAATCCTGGGCCAAACCAACCACCCCCTAGCAGTACATATCTAGCAAGTAAAGTATCCCCCTCCCCAACTCAATAAGAGGGATACACATGGGCAGGATGTATGTATGTTGTATGTAGCAGAGAGCTAAAAAGCAATAAATTGAAGATCAAATACACATACGCGTAGTTCATTGTTAACACAGATTTGTGGAAAGTCATTTTAGAGGGGCATTTTTTGGTCACTTTAATGCCTCTATCAGAGATTTGCAAGCCCTCCAAAACCTGTCTCCAAATTTATCTGAAGCAGCAAGATGGGTTTTTGAAAGTATGAGCACATTTTAAAATCAAAAGACTCTGTTGTTTTCTCTCTATGAGTGAAAATTGAAGCCCCCACTTTGTACACAAATTTTAAATCTTTAATTGTACAAAACCTTTAAATTTTGCTAATAATTAATAATTTGTCACCATACTTGTAGGAAAGTTTTCAATTTTTTTTTTTTTTTTTAGAACAAAATTTTTGCATTTTCAGCTTGCAAAACCCTCCTATAAGTGGAAGAAAAGGTCTGCTTATAAACAAATTCTACACCATCTCTCAAGAAAACTTTTAAATATAGATATTTGTTGTTAAAATTTGATTCCTTGTGAATGTCAATGTTTTAGCTATGACTTGAATGTCATCTTTAGAATTTATGGGGGAAATTACTTTATCTGTGTCTTTCTATTTCAGTGAATCATGGTACCTTGCTTTAGTAAAAGCAGAGTTTCTTGGATTTTAAGCCCATCCTTATATTACTTTAAATGAAAGGAGAAAACTTAGAAGAAAAAATAATCTACAATGTGGATTTAAATTATCACAAATAATTATAAAGTATAACATTAATTTCCAATTCTAAACCATCATATTTCACAATCCCACTGTTAGTTATGGCTTCCTTAGGTTACAATATACACTAATCATATCCAGGGGTCGGCACAAACAAAAAAATCTCCTTTATTCATGTATTCTAAACTGATAAAATCTAAAAAACCACTATTCCCATCTTACTCATTAATGGTATGCTAATGCAGTGCCATCGAGGCCTTGCTTAGCCAGCCAGCCTGCCAGGGTTGCTTACGAGCCAGCTCACATATTCCATCTTTCAATGACGTTGACGTTGCTTTCAAGATGCTGTTATAGCCTGCTGCTGCTGCGTACATGCATGTGTAGTAGGTCTATGGTACATGTACATACTACCCCTTAAAGAGAAGGTTGAGTTTTGGGAAATGTGAACAATAGCTGAAGAGCTTTCCCCTTCTTTTGAAGAATGTGATAACAGAAAGGTCCCCTAAAAAGAAAGCTCTTTTTTTAGCTCTAAAAATTGCCTGCATTTTCAAAATAATGATGAGAAATAGCTGAAAAGCATTGCTTTTTAGTGGACCTCTCTGTTTCCAACATGTATTTCTTACATTTGTTTTAAATGCTTATAATTGATTTGTAATGTTTTGTTGGAAACATGAATAAATTGAAATTGAAATTGAAATATTGGACTACACATTCATGTCACATGTTAGTGTGAAGTCCCATGTACATGTACCCCATTTCTGTCTGCAGTGGAAGTGATTTTCATAAAGACTGAGTCCATTGAAGAAAAAATATTATGATTCCAAAGCCTCAAAGCATGCAATTGACTTACAGTATAAAATTTATATACGGTAAACCTTTCCAAAGCGCTTTTATTAAGTTTCTTTTACACTGTAACCGCATGACAATTACTCACCTTAATCTTGAAAGGGAAAATCAACCCTGATATTTAGTTGGTTTTTAATAAAAGCAGCAGAATGAAGGAAACAGATCAGTAAAAGTTCAAATTAAATCATATTGAATTTAAAAAATGTGAAGTTACAATCAATTGAAATACACGATAGCAGCTCTGTGGTTTATATTTCAAGGTACATGTACTCTCACATTTGCAGAAAATTGCATAAATTGTTTATTTTCTAATTTATTGGTGAAGAAATATATGTGTTTGATATGGGAGTTACATATTTGCATTGATCATATCTAGATTGCATGTCTGATTGAAAGGATAAAGTAGAAAGTTATGATTTCATTAGTACAGAGCAAAGGGGAGGGGACCACCGTACGTCACCACCGTACGTCACAGAATTGTCATTTTGTGTTTCATTGATTATAAAATGAAAAAATCATAACCTTCTTATTCAGATCAGATTTTTAAAATCACTTTTTAGTTTTTAGTAAAACAATCAAAATATAAAGATGGACTTTCACCTTAAGTATGACTATTGTGTACTGGAGCACATCATCAATAAATTATGCAAGTAAACATTGCATTCATATGATATATTTACATTTAACATGTGTCATGTGATACAAACGAACAAATTTATTATTTGTTTCTAATTTTTGTGATTTTTAATATTGTATTTTTACAATTGTTTTTTGTTATTTGCTTGATTTTGCAAATGGTGTAGTCACATAGGGAATCAAAAAGTTTTGCTCACATGCTATGATCTTATCTTCAAACCCAAGATTAAACAAATATTTCAATCATTAAATATTTTTTTCTTCATTGCCTTGTTGCCTGCTCGGGGTAGTTTTCATTCATATGTTTTTCTCAAATTCCAGCGTTGAAAGGGATGTTTGTATGAAATCTACTTTCCATATTCGCCATTATTGCAGTGTTATTGGCAATTCCACTGAGATACCACTAATTTCCTCCAGGTTGATGATTATCGTGGACCCAATATCGCGTTGTCCGTCTACATTTTCTCTGAAACCGATTCATGGGCCAGAAGAAACTCTCTTAATAATCCCTTTATTAATCCTCTTAGCTCAAATTGAATAATAAATGCCGCCAGGGATAGACACTAGATGTGAATGATCTCTCATTAGGGGGCAGCTATCGCACCCAAACTCTGATCTCTTGTCCACCCCCATCTCAGGAGCAGGGGGAGGAAACCACGTCATACTTGATGAGCGCATATATGCCTCTCATAATCTGCGCTCAATCACAAAGAGAGCGCCTCGTATACGTACACGTGATTAGATTTAATCGCATTTGTTGCCATGGAAAATTGGAAGCTGCATGAATTTTAGTTACTCAGGGAGTAGAAAATTTATTCTGATATATTTTTGGGGTCATTTTGTCATGGATGATGTGTAATTACAGTGTATGTTTCACACATGGTTGTAGATAACATGAACTTGTAGTGTAACTTGTAATCATTGCTAGATTTAATCTGTAGAGATCACACAGACCTATTTTCTTCTCATTGTCTTGATTACTACATTTTTATATTGAAGATAAGTGAAAATATCAAATACAGGCTTACCTACTTGGGTCATATTTTCTGCCTGTTTGGACTTTGGAGCAAGTTCCATATACCTGCTGTAAATATGGCAAAATGTACCCGGAAGATATCAATGGAATTGGATTTAAGATCTTTTTATAGCATTTGATCTATATTACAATCGATATACATGTCTCTGTGCTACTCAATCAACTGGAAAGAATTTTTGTCATTGCGGTTGCTGGTGATAAAGGGGGATTCAGGGAATCTCCCTTTATCACCAGAGTAAACTTCCGTCATCATCCACTGAACCCTCACAGAAAAATTGAATTATGCAGGAATTGCCGAAAGGGTAATTCAATTTTACAACATCTGTCTTTGGTAACCTCCAAAATTATATGATAGGCAAGTCCAATGTATGTCCCGTATGTTACCAAGTATCATTGAATCGTCTAGTAATTTGAACATAAATTGACTGAAAGAGAAAACATACACAGGCTGCTTTGAGGGCTACATGAACCTCTTCAGTAGTGTGAGGGGGGTTGGGGGGGGGGGTGGGGTTGCCCTAAGACCTGGGTACTTGTTGTGATTTTCTAAGACTGATACAAATCTGAATGCTCTCTTTATTAGTTGTCTTTCCAGTCCATTATCATTAGATGTCATGATTGCAGTACGGATCAATTCCATTATTTATCTAGGTCTTTTTATTTGCACTTGATTTCTTTCTCAGAATATTCAAGGAATCAGGTGCATATTCCAGTCACACTATGGAGACCTACATGAACATGAGTACACAAGACCAACAAAAGATTACATTACCCTAAATGGCAAATATTTTCTTGATTATTGAATAGTTTGGAGTTCGGTTGGTGATGTCACTAAAGGCTCATATAGATATAAATCGGAGAACCGCAGCATTTTTTAAACCAACAAATGAACCTACGATAAATGAGTGACAACCGTACACAAAGGTCCTACACGTGTGAACTGAGCTCTGTGTTATCAGATACAAACATGTGAAGCTTATTACACTTAGGTCATCAAAAACCTGCCGTTGTTCATATCTGAACGGGCCTTCATGTAATTCTTGGAATTTGACCCAAATGTAATACTGTAACTGACCCTTTGCATTGTTTTTGACTTAACAGTGAGCTAAGAGGTCATCCCTGAGACGATAAGAGGCAACAGACAGACATGGTCTCGGTGTCTGAGACGGAGGTCCGCTTCACCCCGAGCAGTCGAGGTACGGAAGAGGGCGCCGTAGAGGTGACCGTCAAGGGATCCAGCAACATGCCTAGCACCAGGAGACAGAGCTCAGAGAGCAGCAGGAGATCCCTGAGTGGACGCTGCTGCCCAAAGCTCTTTGAGCGTGCCTCTGGAAGCTGGTGGGATCCCAAGTTCAACCTGCCCATCATAGAAGAGCAGTTTCAAGTGCACTCCTTCCCTCAGCTCAAGAAGCGGTTCCGCTACGCGCTAGGGTACGCTCTTCTAGCATGTATAACATGGATGATTTATATACCCATCAATATGAACAGCATGGAGCAGAAGTGTGACTGGATTATTTTTGAAATAGCACTGGGGTGTATGGTAGGGGTTTGTATAGCTCTTATAGCCTTCACAACATGTAGGTATTATAGGGACTATGTCATGCACACTTCACTTGTCTTTATAGTAGTTGTATGTGGACTTACTCTTGCTTCATTTGCGTCTTTCACCGATGATTGTGAATGCGATAATAGAGTGATAAGTACTGTTGCGACATTCGCGATATGCGTTGAGACGATCCTAATAACATATACTGTGATACCTTTACCCTTTCTATACTCTGTGGTAACCATGATGTTGTTTTCGTTTGTTTATGAGGTCTTATTCTTCACCACAGCGTTACAGCCGGATGAAGTGAATGCAACGCATGTATTTACCAAGCTGTTCCTTCACTTGTGCATCCACATGATGGGCATGCATATTTTCTTTATGTCTCAAGTGCGTAATAGGAGCACATTCTTGAAGGTTGTGGAGACCGTTGTTGCCCAGAACCTGCACAAACGGGAGAAGCAGATCAAGGAGGCTACCATCCAATCTCTTATGCCTGACACCATTGCCAAAGAGCTCCTGAAGGGCCGGGAGTCCAACCCGGAAGTCCGGCCCCACATAGGTCGCAGGCAGTCTTCCGAACCCATCTTTCGACCCTTCTACATGAATCGCATGGAGAATGTCAGCATCCTTTATGCTGACATTGCTGGATTTACCAAGATGAGCGCAAACAAGAGTGCTGAGGTCCTGGTCGGTCTCCTCAACAACCTCTTTGGCCGCTTCGACCTCCTCTGCAGGCGGCACAACTGCGAGAAGATCTGCACCTTGGGTGACTGCTACTACTGCGTGTCTGGGTGTCCGGTGAAACGGGACGATCATGCCCAGTGCTGCGTGGAGATGGGCCTGAGCATGATCGAAGCCATCAAGGATTTCTGCCATGAGACGGGAGAGAAGGTCAACATGCGTGTGGGGATTCATACTGGCACGGTGCTCTGTGGCATCGTGGGTAATCGCCGCTTCAAGTTTGACGTGTGGTCCAATGATGTGACCATTGCTAACAAGATGGAGGCATCTGGCCAGCCAGGGAAGGTTCATGTATCAGCAGAGTCTATCAAGTTCCTAAAAGAGCGATATGTGCTGGATGAAGGCAATGCAGACAAACATGCCCTTCTCATTGGTAAGTGGAAATTTGTCTTTATTTAATATCTGTCCTTTTTTTTCTTATCTTTTTCAATAACTTGCATTTATATTTTCTTCTGGCTACCTTATTTTGCTTTCTGTTTCACGTACTGTTTCCCCCAACTTTAAACTATTGATACCCTGTTTTTGTGCTCCAATTTTTGATGGTGTTGTTGAATATAAATTACATTATATCTGTGTGGAGAAAAAAAATGAATCCTACAATGTTATTAAATAATTAATTTTGTTTTAATGATTTTGCATTCGAATATATATGCAATATCAACATTTTGGTGAATATATTTAAATGCTGCAAATACATAATAAAATTGTTGAATGGCAGTTTGATGTACAATATACATGCGTATCCTCAACAAATTAATGACTTTAGTAATATAAAACCCAACAAATTTCATTATGTATGAATGAATTCTAGAACCTTGAAGTTTCCCTTAGAACGAAATACAAACACCTGTACATGTGTAGGCCTACATGTATATCATGTGTATTTGTTTTGAAAGCAAAGAGTCGTAGGAATGGTAAGACGTACATGTACAACGTACATTGATGCAACCTTCACTTTAGACTCTTCAACTGAGTTTGATTTGAGATGGATATTCTTTTATTGAATGTCAAGGATATATTAAGTTTCTCATACGTTCTATCATTTCATCCTTGCTCATTTTCATTCATCAAATTGGCAGTGCCAGTAGCATGCAGCCTAGCTGTGAGTGGTTTGGGAGCCATAATGTCTGGCTACAATCCATTCCAGAATAAAATCTGTCTGCTCTATTTCATCTCCTTACCTTCATTTTTTATTTTCTACGGTCAATTCAGTGAGGAGCAGCAGTAGGGAAGAGGGATGTCTGAAACAATTTTTCGGCCCACATTTTCCCTTCCCTTAGTCCTCCACAAAAAAGCGAATCAATAGAAGGTTTCCGTTTAATTTCTACTTTGGAGGTATTGTGCTCTATTTTTGTCCATAGAGTATTCATTGATCTTGAAACTTTTCTAATTTTTGAAACTGTATTTGCAAAATGCTTGTGACCATGTTGTTCAATAATGCAGAGCAAACAATATATCAGGAACGTTGTTTGTCTGCTTCGTGCTTCCTGACGATATTGCGATACTTGTAGCCAAACAGAGTGGGCGTTAGAATATTGAAAGTCAGAGTACACGTTAAGACGGGGGCAAATTTACCAAGCTATTAATGGGTGAAAATGCTTGGCACGCAACAAGATGAAAGCATACATGTACATGTAGGTTGTATTAAATGGGGAACAGAGAAAATGGAAGAAAATTTGCGGCAAGAAAATAGATGTAATTAAGTTGACAGGAAAGGCTTGTTTGTGAGGAGTTGCCATTTTTAGATTCTTCTGAAAGGAAGAGCAGATATTAATTTGTTTAAAAAGTAGATTTGAGGAAGCAAATGCATGTCATCATTGAGCTGAGCTGCCAAGAATGTGGGAGAGATGCACATCATATGGAAAGACTTTGAAGATATGTTCTTGGATGAATGAAATAACTCCTCTAGGGACATGTTAAATTGGAAAAATTGAATCTTTTTCATGCGAATATCGAGAAGGCTATTTTTGGAGTGAATACAAGTGTAATACCAGTATGACGTTATTTTCACCTGTTTCTTGTGTTCTGTTACTTATGTTTGGTTTAAAATTAAATATCATTTAACATGAATGTCTGAGCCTACATAAACCTAGGATTACATTGTATATTAGTCTTGAGATGATGATGATGATGTCAAGGCTTAACGTACAGGGTTCACGTGCTCTGTAATGCAATTGGATGAGGGGAAATGAACTTTATTTCTCATGACATCCTCCATGCTTTGCATTCTTAGGATATTTGGGCTAGCTCGTGAGATGAAGACATACTTCTTTGTGCATCATTGGTATTCACGCCAACACGACCAAGATGCGAGGCCGAAGTGGCTCTTCACATGGTTTTTTGCCTCTTTGTTTTTCTCTCTCTTTTTGGCAAGGAATGCAGAAAAGCGGGAAGGGAACACTTATGCTTTTCCGAGAGCCGAGAATTCAAACCGGAATCGTACTTGTCAAGTATTTTTGGCTGTAGGCAGTTCATTTGGAAAGTTTTTCTTGTGAAAGTGAAGGGTCCTTTTTGTATTTGAGTTCATGTTGATCTATTCAAACAAAAGTTTTCAGTTAATATTTTTCTTTTAAAACTGTAAGATATTAGAAGGAACAAAAATTCTAATATCTGGAGCTTTTATCAAATGAAAAGGCTTTTTTTTTCTTCTTCCCACTGCCATATCTTCTGATCATTTATTAGTGATCGGTGATTAAAATTCATCTTCCGATTTTTTTTCTTCAAAAATCGAAAGGAATCAGCCCCTGATTCGATTACAGGGTTAGAACTTCCTTGTAATCACAAAGGCTGGATGGAAATAGACATCATACCGGTAATCAATTGGAGAGTCCATTCCTATGAAATGCAGTTTGGGAAGACGTGTTGCACTTTTAAGCATCTGTTCAACCCCAGAGAGAGGTGGACAAATGTTAATAATACTATCAGACATACTGGTATTCACTTAGCCTACTTCCAGGCCGCCTTGCTGGCCTTATGCTTGGGTTCAATTAAAAACCAATTTAATCCTCCTGGAAAATGGGAAATTTACATATGTGCAGAATTATGAGGTAATTGGACGATTCCTTGCATGTACAGTGTAGGTCATAATTTTTGTGGGGAAAAAGATTACATTTGGGGTAAGTTTATCTAGCTAAGTTTATCTAGCTAAGTTTATCTAGCTAATATGAATGAGATCTACAATTTTGTATTAAACATGAACTAGTGGAAACAAAATGGTAATGGATTAGATTATTTTAAAAAACATGTTCACTTAGCTAAAAAAACATATTTACTCATTTTCTGCTATAGATTAATGAACTGTGAACATGGTCAGCATGCAACAAAAGTTAATTAGCAATTGATTGCATGCAGGCAGAGGCCTGTCTGTTAGAGATACTCTCTCAATTATCTAGTTTAAAAGTATTGGCAGTGGTGAAGCCATGATGGAGCATTGTGTGTGTGTGGGGGGGGGGGAGGGGGTATAATAATAATAATAATAATAATCTTTTAAAGTCCACTCCAAATTTTATTAAACTGAAAATGGAAATTCTTTTTGCCCAATTGATCGTGAGGAAGAAAGGAAAATAAAAGTTTGAAAAAAAAGAAGCTCTGGGTAAAGGGGACATATTAGATATGCTACAACCCCTTAATCTCCCTCCTCTTCCTCACTATTACCATTGACCTTATTTGAATATTTGGTACTACAGTCAAACCTGTCTATAGCAACCACCCAGGGGAAACACAAAAAGTGGTCTTTGAAGACGGGTGGTCTTTGTAGACTGGTGGTCTTTGTAGACAGGTTTCTTTAGTATATGTTTCAATGAGAAACCATTTTCAAGGGATACAAAAAATGTGGTCTTTTTAGACATGTTTGACTGTAGTATTGAACCCCAAACAAACAGAGAAAGAAAATGCACTTTCAGTCTGTACATGTACGTCCAGACTACAGTGTACATGTATCCCTAGCAAGAAGATAAGACATTATCAATAGAAACATCTTTGTGTAGCAGCTGCATTTCTTTTATTAATTGAATTTGAGTGAAGTCTGATTGAGGGGTGGATACATGTGCAAAGATAAGTTGATCAACTGTCTGCCCAATCACAAATGGAATTGATTACTATCAGTGTATTAAATACATGCTCTATTACAGTCTAGCTAGCCTACATTTATGTGTACATGTAGGTGTTCACTGAAGGCCTACTGTTTATGCACATCTTCATGAAAATCTTAGACTTTGTATGTTGTATGTAATGGGCCTTTTGCGGATTGATCTTATATGCATGTAATTAATCAGCATTTATTTCATCATCAAAATAGACAGTGGTACAAAAAAAATTGTAGTTATACAGAGATGTATGGGCCAGAACAATGGATTTTCCGAAGCAGGGCATTTAACATGTAAAACCTACAGTACAGATATGATACAAATTAGTTTAATGACATGATATTTATGAGGTAATTAACATTTCAGAAATTTTTAATTAGAAGGAGAAATATAAGTGTTGTTTTTATCATATGAGAATTATGTGGTACAGTAAGTAACATGGGTTTTTTATGATCGAGGGCAGTAGACTTGAGTCGATGAAAAATTTAGAATTAAATGTACACATAGTTAATGTCCGTAATTTATGACAAATTTCGGTAAAATATAATAAAATTCTCGCATACAAATTGGCTACCTCTGTGTATCATAAAAAAAACTTCACCACCCTACATTTGTATACATGTATCCTGTATGTACCTGTAACAAGAGTTTCTACTGGATATCATTCAAAGATAATGTAATAAGATTGGGAATCCAGGCATCGTTCCGCTGCATGCATTCAAAACAGGAAGTTTATTCTTAGCACAGAAATGAAAGTGATACCATTCTGTGTTGCTTCAGACAGCGTCATACTGAAAACTGAGGGTTGTACGAAACTCATCTGTGCTGCCAAAAGTTGAATTAACTTCCTAAAGTCTTAGGAGGGTACATGTAGACATTTTGGAAAGTCTCAACTATTTCCTCCCATACTTAATGTACATTTGCCTTCCCCTTACCTGATCAGAGCATTGCCTTGATCTGATTATTTTGTCAAGGTTAGTACCGGTAGCCCTATTATACTCTTTTCACACTGGTTTTGCTTAACCCCGTACTTTGCTTAGCCCCGTACTATCCTTAACCCCGGACTATTTTTTTGGCTTTTCACACTCGCTGTTTTTAGTCCCGTACTAGCGCCTATTCCGGAATAAGAAAATTCCCGCTGTTCTCACTGCATTTCGTTAACCCCGGATATCGTGTATGTTATGATTGGACATACTTCGCATCTGGCCAGCTGCGATACGCTCCATTGCGTAGTACCGGACTATTTTTCATTTCTGTTCTCATTCATTTGCTTAGCACCGCAATTGCGGGGTTAGCAGGAGTTAGCACCACAATTGCGGAGTTAGCCCTGCTATTTTGCAGGGTTAGTTAACCCCGTACTATAGGTGGGGTTAGCCAACTTTAGCCCACTTTGGTAAAAACCAGTCTGAACAGAAAGTGGAATAGGCTTAACCCCGTACTATAGGTGGGGCTAAGACCCCCCCCTTAACCCCACCTATAGTACGGGGTTAAGCAAAATATTGCAAGT